TGAATGGAAAAGTCAGATTGCCCAAGGAATGAATCCCATCAGTAGGAAGACAGCAGTAAGTTGATCATTTTGTTAACACTGAACCTTATTATCCTTAATGAAAGATTTTCAACTGCCAACATGAGCGTACCCTGAGAACTTCTCACAGCAGCCAGGACAGTTTGCACGATTACTTATCTTATTGCAATAAAATAAGTTAGTTTCCCATTGATCTGGGATGTCCTATTACAAAAGGTACTTTATTTAATGCACTACCAAAAAATCGTCAGTGCTTTGAATCCTCTTTTCAATAGTGTAGAGAGGCTTGAAAATCTGTAGAAATAGTACACCAAATTCTTTTGTAAAGCGAATAAGCATTCTATAATTTATCTCTGCTGTATATCCAAAATTTTGCACATAAGAGCATGATATTCTGTAACAGTATTGCTGAACCAAAGGAATCAGTAAAGGGCATTGTGTCTGGTCTGATGTTAGAGAATTCAAAACAAAAGTCTTAAAAACATGCCCATAAGACATATTTCTAAAATTTTCCAAACTACGGCTTGGTCTTTGAACAGTAACTTTGCGTTGGTTGTCCTTGGAGCCTCTCCATGGTGTTTCAAAAATTGGAAGGTTGGAGGGGCCTGGCTATCAACACACTCACCTGGCCAGTAGTACATGTAGACTCTTCTTTTGGCCTTGGTCAGCGTGACCCACAGAGGTTCTGATCCATTCCACCAGAGAGGCATCAGGCTGTCTCTGTTGACACCAATATCAAAGGACTTGTTGGTGCTGGGGTCCCACATATAGTTCCCAATCATCTGATGAACCTCACAGTGGCGGCCTACATTAATGAGAACACAGAGCTGTCAGTTAACTGTACTGATCGTTTTCATTTTTGTCTTTGTTTTCTGATTATAAAAGCGATTCATGCTTATGTAAGAAATACATGCTTTGGATTTTTTTTATTATTATAGATATTTCTTCTTTCTTAGACTGTAACGTAAAGGCAAATAATCCAATGAGATGTCCACTCATTGACTGAGAGTGGGGTCATTTTGAATGAATGTAACCTGTCAAGTCTGAATTGTTTTAAATAATACCGAGGACTTTGTGTGCAGAGTTTGTGCCACTGTTCATGGCTTGAAGTCTAAATATGAATCAGTATGGAAATCAGTGAATTCCCATGAGACTTGGGTTAGGTTCTCACCCCAGAGCTCTCTCTGTACCCCTTCCAAACCCTCCTTCCACAGATCAGGAATCTAGCTGTTAGGGAATTTATTCTCTCCTTTCTCAGATAAGAGGAGTTGTTGCTTCAGCCCTGAACAATGATCCAACCTGTGACATTGGAAACAGAACGGTGAAAAATAGATTCAACTTTGACAAACAAAGCAAGAAAACAACTCTCCAAATGGAGTGTTATATAGAAATGAGGGTGGTTCTGCTGGGCACAGCTTAAGTCCCAGAAGAGAAGCCAGAAGTGAAAGACACAAGTGCTTGGACTCTTTTGAAACATTAGGCTTAAATTATTTATTTTGGAGCAATCTGTTACATCTTTAAAGTAAAAATAACAAAAACATTGGCAAGTGCATAAAAAAAATTGCTGCAATTTTAGAGAGTGTCATTTGGCACCAGAATGAAACATGCTTCACTGAGCTTCCTAAGTGTGTTTAATCAAAGTGGCTTTTTTGTTGTTTGTTTGCTGTTTTTATTTCTTCTTACCCCACCCCCCCACCCCCCCACACACACACCTTATTTTTAACCAAAAACAAAGAGAAACCACATAATACAATTTTGAAAATTTGGACACCAAAAATATCAGAAAAGAAAACCTTTTTATTTCCTTACAGAAAACAAGGCATTACACAAACTATGCTTTGAATTTAAAGCCCAGAGATCCAAACAAAATGGTTTTTACCAAAGCTGTAGGGTTATTTTTCTAATCTTGACCAAAGCTTTCACCTGTGGACTAATAAAATTTAAAAAGAAAATAAAGTAAAATCATTGAGCAATTTCTCTAATGTTTAAGAACTTATTTTTATTTATTCCTTCAGTTAACATTTACTAGATGCTCTTATACATATAGTCCTATAAACTCGACATTGTGATAGGTGTAGAGATTCTAATCTGAATACATGTGGTCCCTGTCCCCACGTGGCTGGTAATGTAACACTCAACAGAGGGTCCTCGGCATGAGAGAGACAGACCTCCTGGGGCTGGGGCTAAGGAGGGGACCAGGTTGCTGCTGCAACTAGAGAATCCTAAGAATCCTCACTCCCCCGTTGATGAGCATAATTCCTAGCATGTCCTAACTGACTCATTAAAAGTAAGGGGAGACTTCTTATTGGTTCAACTATATTATCTTTTTTACTATATGAAAATTTAATAATATTAAGGGAGCCCCTCTTATGAGTAAAAGTTTTAATCTATTTCTTTTATTCAAAATAATGCATTCCGTATCAAAAATGTTTATCATCTTTATGATGCTCACTCACCTTTTTTACAAGGCAAGATGATCATATTATCCATTGGAAAATGTTTCCTTTACAGGGAGTCTTTCCCTGTACACACTCTCTAATGTCTCCGCAAGGGCAGGGAGGGTATCTCGCCTGGAGCTGGTGTGCACAGAAACTGAGGGAGGGCATGACATTGGAAAGGGGGGTGAAAAGCATGACTGAGGTCAGTTACCAAAGAAGAGCCTCTAACTGAATTGCTAGGAAAGGACTGGAAGGGCTAGGGATATCAGATATGGAAATAATAGGGACGGATACCAAGTAGGAGGGGTGTAGGGGTCTCCGCTTTCAAGTTTGAACTGTTTGGACCATTTTAAACAAAATGCATGAAATCCAGATATAAGTGGGGGCCTCACGTGGATGCAGTTTTCACAAGGTGCTGCATTCAAAGAAGCATGAAGCAACAAAAAATAATTTTTAAAGTACTTATAATCTGTGCTTGTATATGTCAGAAACCCAACAATATCATTTGGTAACTTTTCTTCTTCTTTCCAACACTCATGCTCAGTACTCTAGACCCCAAAGTGCCCAGACTCTCTCACCCTCCATGCTCTCTGCTCTCTGGGTAGATTATAAGGAGCCTCCTGCGGATCGTAGAGCTGTTGTATGACTGGATTGTGCACCCATGGGAGTGTGTGCATGTGTGTGCATGTGCGTGTGTGTGAGAGAGAGAGACAGAAAGAGAAAGAACATTCTCCCAGAGAATTTCTGTAGGGTCAGCTCTTTCAACAGAAAAGTCACCCTAGACTCCTACTTAGAAAGATGATTTTATTCTTTTGGTGGGTTGAACTGATGGGCCTTGAATTGAAATGGGAGGGTGTATTTTTCAGGCTTAATGCAGACGTTGTGCTGTCCCAGGGGCTTCCTTTGTTCCAGGAAGAGCTGCCTTTTCTGGAATCTGGCAGAAGGAGTGTGCTCCCAGTCTGGTCTCATTGTCTGCTCCAAATCTTCTCTCCTGGCTGTGCTGATTTTCCTTCTCATGAATATAGGAAGGCTGGTGATCTGCTTGTCACAGTCTAGGTCTGCTCTTATGCAAGCTGATTTCCTTACCTACCCTATTTCTCTCTTGCTCTTTCATGTTTATTGCCTGGGTAAAAGTGGTGGCTGAAAGAACAGAACAGAACAGAACAGAACATAATGTACTGGCTTCTGCAGCCCACAAGCCCTCATCTCCATATTCCTGCCTGACCCGTATCTATTTTTATACATCTGTAACTCTTGATTTTTCTCTGGTTTGTGCTTTCCACAAAGCTCCACAGGGCTTTGCTGTGCTTTGACTATTTGGACTCTCTGCTTTAGTAGAAACTTTTCTGACATCCTCACAAACCACAAATCTCAGGTGATTTTCAGGTATGATGTAAGGACTATCTTCTTCCACTCCTCCCCTCTCCAGTGACAGTTCTGTGGGGCTTTGAAACTTGTGCTTGCCTTTGTCTGAGAGAGGTCATGGGATAGGTCTCATCCTCAGAACTGTTCTGTGAAAGGGGCAGGATATGGCACCTTCATTTTTCATTTCCCCAAAGTCTTATTTAAGTGTGTTCTGATGTGATGACCATCACAGAAGGTTTTTAGCATGCAGCCATAGACCTCTGCACCACATTACATGTTTCCAAGCATCTCAGAAATGGCTGGCCTTCACATCACTTGAGAAGTTAGAGGATCTGTCCATCTTATCTGTAACTGATGGTCACAAAGACTTTTTCCTTGGCCAAGCTTTAATTCACCTCATCTGAACCCTCTGCTCAACTAGACCCAACCTTGGCCTTTCTTCTCTGTCCTTGTAGAGTCTCGTTTCAGCAAGAATCCTACTAAGTCAGTTTAGTGAAAATCTTCCACTTTTGACCACCCCCAACATCTTACCCCCCTTCAGCAAGAGTTCGGTTGAGTCAGTCTAGCCAGAATCCCCTTTACCCCTGATGTTTCCTCTGAGTAATCTTCCATCCACTGACCCGCTTCCTTCTCTGTCCTTGTAGAGTCTCGTTTCAGCAACAATCCTACTAAGTCAGTTTAGTGAAAATCTTCCACTTTTGACCACCCCCAACATCTTACCCCCTTTCAGCAAGAGTTCGGTTGAGTCGGTCTAGCCAGAATCCCCTTTACCCCTGATGTTTCCTCTGAGTAATCTTCCATCCACTGACCCCACTGTGCTCCTTCGCTATAAGTCCCCACTTGTCCTTGTTGTATTTGGAGTCCAGCCCAATTTCTCTCCCTCACTGCAAGATCCCATTGCAGTGGTCCCTGCACCTACCACAATGATTCGCTCTTGAATAAAGTCTGCCTCACCTTGTGTGTGTGTGTGTGTGTGTGTGTGTGTGTGTGTGTGTGGCTGGCCAGTACAGGGATCCAAACCCTTGATCTTTGCTGTTATAATGCCTTACCATCTTTAATAAACATCACAATTTTTCTTTAACAATGGACACCTGTACCCTTGACCTTTGGTGTTATAATGCCTTACCATCTTTAATAAACATCACAATTTTTCTTTAACAATGGACACCTGTAAGTTTGCTACTGCTTAGTTTTCAATCTGTCTTAATTTGTTTTCTCATTATTTTCACACAGTAAATGTTAATTCCTTTTATAGTTCCTTATTTCATTTATTTTGTTTTTCATTCATTCAAAATGCATTCGTCAAATAATTTTAACATGCTAGGCATATAAAGATTGAAAGATATGGTTCCCAGTCTTTTACTGGCTCACAGCCTGGTATTGACAACAGTATGATACAGTGGTTAAGGGAAAAGGTCTTGGAGTCAGATCACATAGGTTCTATACAAGCTCTATTACTAACCATGTGCATGACCTTGGACAAGTAGCTTAGACTCTCTGAAGCTTCAATTTCCTCATCTGAGTAATGGGAATGATACTAGTTATTTTGAGATATATAGATGTGTAGTTCTCTCCTTGCATGGCAATGTGGAACCATAAAAACAACCATGCAAGCTGAAAGCATGCAACGCTATCTTATAATCAGTGGGGAAAATTAGAATTGTTCCATGACCTTTAAAAATTTTTGTCAAAATATTGAAAATTCTGTTACTGTCAGTTAAAACTGTATAGGAAAAATAAAGAATATAGTAAAACTATCATTTATTAGTCTATTATAATTTAAAACAGAAACATCGAGAACTAAGGAGTTTTATTCCTTTGTAAAAATACTTATCAAGAATAGTGTGAACAGTGCTTGCCTTCTTCTAGAGGTCGACCACACTGTGAGTAAGCATCTTTCTGATGCCTTGGCAAATCATCATACCCTTTCTCAGTTTAGATCGGCTTCCAACATTTTATCCTTTGTGCTTTCAATGTTATGAAATACCTCCAAGAGTCCCTT